TGCCTCTATAGCAAAAGGTGGGTGATGTCTGCTCCACAGATATCAAAAAAGTTTGCCAGGTCATTAACAAAATCCACATTTGGCCTTCTGGATGGAATGAACTTCCTTGATTTGTATCTCCTTCATTGATCAGACACCTCTGGATGATTAACATTCCCAATTCTATTACTGCTTCTCTGTGAATACAAGGACCTCTGTGCCCCCAACTTCTAGCCATTCTATAATCAGCATTAGCATGTGACTCCACCTGCTATTTTCCAAGTTCAGGTAGAAATAAGTAGCCCTGGGAAAGTAGATTACTGATCCAAAAATCATATGGTGAGTCAGACTGAACATGTCAGTCAAGTGTTCGTGTGGCTTTAAAGAACCCTCAGTGGAAGGCCTGCAGACAGGACACAGGATAAAATTCCTCCACAGAGCAGTGGAGCACAGCAGTAAAGCACCTGGACAGGGATTCTTCATGCCATTGCCACTGTTGCTGGTTGCTGCTTCAGCACCGTCACAGATTCCAGACAGGCTGTCAAAAAGTGGACAGTGGACTTGGTTACTGATCAAGGTGTCTTAGTCCCATGTGGACTCCAGGACAAAGACTGACACTAATGGTCCTAAAAGCTGGGGTGGCAGAGGCTGCATGTGCTTTGCCATTTGCTCTTTTGAGATAGGGTCTCCCTTATAACCCAGGCTTGCATCAATCTCACAGTGATCCTCCTGCCATAATGTCCTCAGTACAGAGTACAATTTTGTCACAAAGGAGCTCAGCAATGAGCAGATGGCAGTAGAGCAGACTCAGTCTTCAGTCTGGATGCTGTGTAAGCACTGTCTGAGCACACCTGAGACAAAGTCCATACCCAGAGACAGACCCTCCCTGTATTCATAATTCTTACTCACTTTATTACAAATTTCCCATTTCTGTCTTTTCTTTGTTTCTCTTTTCTTTGCCAATTCAAAGAAGAGTTATTTGTTTAACCCAAAAGAGAGTGCCTAAGAGATAAGAAGTTCCATGGAAAATGCTTCAGTTGTTCTTGTTTTCCCCTAAGTCAGCCATGCAGCGATAACTTGGTAACATGGTGGGAAGTTAACTGTGAATGGTTTGCTTCCTGTTGTCATGCTGACAGTGTAACAAAGGAGTTCTATTGTGGTCAATGGTTGGACCAATGCATAGCTAGCTAATCTGTTGGATTGTTTTAATATTGGTGCTTTTTTTTTTTCCTTATTTTGACTTTTCTTTTTAAAATTCTGAATTTGTACTATTGAGACATGTGTGAACACAGATGCCACAGCACATGTATGAAGGTCAGATGACAAGTTGGAGGCATGGGTTCTCTCCTGGGTATTGACCTCAGGCCCTCAGACTTGGTTGTAAGTGTCTACTCATTGAGCCACCTAGCTGGTCAATGTTAACCACCCCTACTTTTAATTTTTTTGGGTGTGTGTGTGTAGGGTTTCTCAGTGTAGCCTTGGCTTCCTGGAATTCACTATTTGGACTAAGCTGACCTCAAACCACAAAGATCCACCTGTTTCTACCTCCTAAGTGCTGGCATCATAGGCCAGTGCCACCATAGAAAGCTGGGGAAGTGTTATAGCTTTGGTTACCAATGTCCAGCTTAGAGATTCTTGAGCAATCCTAGATGTGTCTTTTTAAAATTGCTGATGCTTGGTGAATATCAACCGGGTTGTTTAAATTTGACCTAGGTGGACTGGTTGTCCTTTCAGCTATGAGGCAGGGGGATCACACCACTGGACACGTTTAATGATATCTGTATGCAAGAGACCCTGTGCCCAGATGGAGGAGAATTGCTTAGTGAGTGCAAGAATAGTGCAGTGGTATATTCTTCAATTTCTTTCTTCAAACACTTAAAGTTCTTGTCACATAGGCCTTTCATTTGTTTGGTCAGAGTTACCCCTAGATATTCTATATTATTTGTGGCTATTGTAAAGGGTGATGTTTCTCTGATTTCTTTCTCAGTTAATTTTTCACTTATCTATAGGAGAGCTATTGATTTTTTTTGAGTTAATGTTGTATCCCACCACATTCCTGAAGGTGTTTATCAACTGTTGGAGTTCTCTGGTAGAGTTTTTGGGGTGACTTATGTAGACTATCATATTATCTGCAAAAAGTGAAAGTTTGACTTCTTTCTTGATTGCCTTTTGTTGTCTTATTGCTCAAGCTAGAATGTCAAGCACTATATTGAATAAATATGGAGAGAATGGACAGCCTTGTCTTGTTCCTGATTTTAGTGGAAAGGCTTTGAGTTTCTCTCCATTTAATTTGATGTTGGCTGTTGGCTTGGTGTAAATTGCCTTTATTATGTTTAGATATGTTCCTTGTATTTTGTTGAAGGCTTTTTCAGCATCTAATAAAATGATCATGTGGTTTTTTTCTTTCAGTTTGTTTATATGGTGGATTACATTGACAGATTTTCAATATATTGAAACATTCCTGCATCTCTGGGATGAAGCCTACTTGATCATGGTGGATGATTTGTGTGTGTGTGTGTGTGTGTGTGTGTGTGTGTGTGTGTGTGTGTGTGTGTGTGTAATCTTGGATAGGTAGGAACAACATAGCAAAATGGCAATCTTACCAAAAGCAATTTACAGATTCAATGCAATCCCCATCAAAATCCAAACACAATTCTTCACAGACCTTGAAAGTACAATATTCAACTTCATATGGAAAAACAAAAAACCCAGGATAGCCAAAACAATCCAATTCAATAAAGGAACTTCTGGAAGTATCACCATCCCTGACTTCAAGGTCTACTATAGAGCTATAGCAATAAAAACAGCTTGGTATTGGCATAAAAATAGATATGTGGACCAATGGAATTGAATTGAAGATGCTGACATAAATCCACACACCTATGAACACCTGATTTTTGACAAAGAAGCCAAAATATTAATGGAAAAAAGAAAGCATCTACAACAAATGGTGCTGGCATAACTGGTTGTTGACATGTAGAAGATTGCAAATAGATCCATATCTCCATCCATGCACAAAACTCAAATCCAAGTGGATCAAAGACCTCAACATAAATCCAGTTACACTGAACCTGATAGAAGAGAAAGTGGAAAATAGCCTTGAACACCTTGGCACAGGAGACTACTTCCTGAATATAACACTAGTAGTACAGACACTGAGAGTAACATTTTAAAAAATGGGACCTCCTGAAACTGAAAATCTTTTGTAAGGCAAAGGACATAGTCAATAAGACAAAACAGCAGCCTATGGAATGGGAAAAGATCTTCACCAACCCCACATCTGAGAGAAGGCTAATCTCCAAAATATATAAAGAACTCAAGAAACTAGACATCAAAATACCAAATAACCAAATTAAAAATGGGACAAGAAATAAACAGAGAATTCTCAACAGAAGAATCTCAAATGGCTGAAAGAAATTTAAGGAATTGCTCAACCTCCTTAGTCATTAGGGAAATGGAAATCAAAATGAATCTGAGATACCATCTTATACTTGTCAAAAACACTGATGACAGTTTATGTTGGAGAGGATGTGGAGTAAGGAGAACACTCTTTCACTGCTGGTGGAAGTGCAAACTTGTACAGCCACTTTGAAAATCAGTATGGCTGTTTCTCAGAAAATTGGAAATCATTCTACCTCAAGACCCAGCAGTACCACTCTTAGGCATATACCCAAGGAATGCTCAATCATACCACAAGGACACTTGCTCAACTATGTTCATAGCAGCACTATTTGTAATAGCCAGAACCTGGAAACAGCCTAGATACCCCTAACCCGAAGAATGGGTAAAGAAAATGTGGTGGTACATTTACACAGTGGAGTATTATTCAGCTGTAAACAACAATGACATCATGAAATTTGCAGGCAAATGGATGGAACTAGAAAAAAAAAATCATCCTGAGTTAGGTAACCCAGACTCAGAAAGACAAACATGGTATGAACTTACTCATATGTGGATGTTAGATGTGAAGCAGAGGATAACCAGGCTACAATCCACAGCCCCAGAGAAGCTAGGTAACAAGGGGGACTCTAAGGGGGATGCATGGATCGTCCTGGGGAAATAGATGAGATCTCCTGGGTAAACTGGGGGCAGGATGGGGGGTAGAGGGGAGGGGATGGAGGATGGAAACATGGGTGAATGAGATGGTTGAGTTGGGAGAGGAACGGAGAGGGAGAGCAATGAAAGAGATATGTTGATAGAAGCCGTTATGGGGTTAAGGAGAAACCTGGTTCCAGGGAAATTCTCGGGAATCTACGAGGATGACCCCAGCTAAGACTCCTAGCAACAGTGGAGAGGGTGCCTGAACTGGACTTCTCCTGTAATCTGATTGGTGACTACCCTAATTGTCATTACAGAACCTTCACTAATGGAAGTAGATGTAGAGTTCGCCAGCCAAACACTGTGCTGAACTCTGGGAGTCCATTCAAGGAGAGGAAGGAGGGATTATATAAGCAACGGGGGTGGGGTGGGGTGGGTGTCAAGATCTTGTCAGGGAAACCCATAGCAATAGATGATGACCCCAGCTCGTGGGAGCGCATAGATTCTGGACCAACAGGTGGGTAGCTTGCATGGGACAGAACTAGACCCTCTGCATGTGGGTAATTGTGTGGCTTGGTTTGTTTGTGGGTCCCCTGACAGTGGGACCAGGATCTGTCCCTGGTGCATGAGCTGGCTTTTTGGAACCCATTCCCTAAGGTGGGATGCCTTGCTCAGCCTTGATGCAGCGGGGAGGGGCTTGGTCCTGCCTCAACTTGATGTGCCAGGCTTTGTTGACTCCCCATGGGAGGCGTTACTCTTTCTGAGGAGTGGATGGGGGTGGGAAGGTAAGAAATAGGAGGGGGAGGTGGGGAGGGAGGGGACTCTGTTGTTGGTATGTAAAATGAATTTAAAAAAAAAAAAGGTGCAGGGAGACTTTTCAGTACAGGTGCAAGTTCTACTGCAATGCCAATCTCTGCAGGTCTGGGACAATTCTGTGCCTCTGGTAGATGTCAGGCCTGGGAAGCACAGTGTGCTGTGTCCCTTCACAACATTCTGTTTCTAAGCGAGATGCTCTTGTCACTCAGGAGTCACTAGCCAATCAGGGCCTCCAGGTGGACTGCCCCTCAGAATAGGGCGAGCGCTTCCAGTCCGCCATGCTGCAGGTATCAGAAGCCCAGGCTTGAGGGAATCTGTGTTGCCTGTGCTGTGCTGTGACACGCTGCCGAGAGCCGTGAGGAGAGCGGCTAAGCTCGGAATCCGCCATGGTGAGCGAGGGGCCGCCTTTCCCACGCGGGGAGGCGCCGTGGGAGCCGGTGTGGGAACCGGTGTGGGGTCCTCACGGGGCTGTGGGAACCGGCAGGTGGACTTGGGGGCCGGAGTGATTCCAAGGTTGGTCCCCTAAGATCCCTGCAAGTCCTGAACAGAAGCGGGACTTCTAAATGACTTCGCTTTGCGGGATACGCCTGCGCAGAGCATGGGGAGCTGTAGCCTTTGTGTGGAAACATCCTTGGCACTGCACTGCGCAGGGCATTCGAATGTTGTGCTTTTACTGCCTCCCGGGAAAGCCAATTTGCTAACTCACAGAGCCCTGGTCTCTCGATTGTCTTCTAGAAGTTCTGCACTTGGCACTGAACATTCAGGTGTAGATCCGTCTGCAGCTAATTCTGTGCAGGGTGTGAATTCTGTGTCATTAACACATTTGCATGTAGATGCCAGGGTGGTCCAGTCATTTGTATCATTAAGGCCAGACTTACTGGGTTTCCTGGCCTCATGTGTCAAAACTGACTCTATATTAATTATTTTTTTTGTTTGTTTGTTTGTTTTTGTTTTGAGACAGGGTTTCACTGTTTAGTCCTTTATGTCCTGGAACTCACTTTGTAGACAAGGCTGGCCTAGAACTCAGAGATCCTCCAGTCTCTGCCTCCCAAGTGCTGGGATTAAAGATGTGTGTCACCACCGACCGACATTAACTGTCTTTTTATTTCTGAGTTTACACTCACGTTCTGTTGATCTCTTTATTCTTTCCCAGACAGTGCAGTCTTTGTTTGTTTTTTTTTTTTTTGAGACATGGTTTCTCTGTTTAGCTCTAGCTGGAACTCTAGCTGGAACTTACTTTTTAGACTATGCTGGCCTTAAATTCACAGAGATCCACCTGCCTCTGCCTCCCAGGTGCTGGGTTTAAAGGTATGTGCCAATACTTCCTCGTTCAGTACAATCTTTTTTGCAGTTGTGTTCAATGTTTGAAGTCAGATGGTGTCACTGTGTGTTGTATTTATTCAGTCGTGTGTTGATCAATTTTTCATTCATGATAACTTTTTCTCATGTCTGTTGTTTGTAGCATAACTTGTTAGACTTTTTATTGGATTTTTGCCATATCTATAGCTCAAATTCTGTATTGTAATATGATATTCACATAATAGACAAGATGACAGCAAACTACATGGTTGCTTTCTACTCAAGGTTAGTCCTGCTCCCTGCTAAGGAAGCACATCCTCCATCAGGCACAATTTCCAGTGGGATCGCCAACTCTCCGTGGTTAAATGGGCACGGTTACACCCTTTCCTTAAAAAGACTCTTTATTTAGGTTTGCATGTATGTAGGAGGAGATGGTCCTTGTGTCTAGGCAGGTAGGCCCCATGCAGCTAGGGAACAGAGGAAAGAATTCCATGACCCCAACCAGAGACAGCTGAGTCCATGGACGAGTTTCCCCAACTGACTGTAACTGTTGAAGCCAGTTGTTGTCATCCAGGTCTTTCACCTTCTCCTCAGTCCCCAGACACAAGATGTTGCTTGGCCCCGTTTTCTCCCAATTGAGTCTGGTCTGGGCTGTGATCAGACAGATTTCTGACTCTCCATGTTTGCTGGACTGAAGACTTTTGGGTTCAGTTTTTTAAAATAGTTAAGTCAGTGGTGTTGTTGCATGCTTTTAATCCCAGCACTTGGGAGGCAGAGGCAGGAAGATCTCTGAGTTTGAGGCCTGCCTGGTGTGTAGAGGGAGTTCCAGGGCAACCAGGGCTACACAGTAGCCAGTAGCTTTTTGTGTAGTTACAGTAGGTAATACCTTCCCAGTGTCCGTCTTTCTTAGTTCCCCGGTCCAGGCCTAAGGGCAGTGCAGGTTGGAGCATGACCCTGTTCATACCAAATGTAAGACTCAAGAGGAGGTAGAAGGACAGAGAGCAGAAAGATTTAGGAGCCAATGGAACCTAATTTTAGTGGGTCCAGAGTCCTGAGACAGTCCATTTGGCATCATGTTTGGCTTTTACTTTCTTGCCCTGATGTGGTGGGATCATGATGTAATGTCAGCTTTCTTCACTGCGATAGGAGTGGAGATAATCACCTGTTAGGGTCCTTTACAGGGTAGTTCCACTGTCCTGCTGGCTACTCACTTGACCCAGATGTATCATTGGACTGAAACAAGGGGAAATTCTTGGTGGACTTGGAGGTCAGCTGAGAGTCTAGGATAATCCAATGAATAGACTTTATAGAGGACTGGAGTTCCTATAGTGACTTGAGAAAGTAATAATTAGACTGTTCTGCAAACTGTTGGTCTCTGAGCCTGGGAAGCAGTGGGGGGGCTTTTCAAATATAATCTCATAGTTGGGTAAATCCCTCCTTGCATGGGGTGTAGCTGACAGAAGCAAAGCAAAGTCAGGAGCCTGTCCATTCTTTGATAGACTATGAGAGTTTTGTTAATTTTTTTTTTTTTAAATTCAAGTCGTGTTTATTCTTTTTACCTGGCCAGAACTCTGAGGACTGTATGCACAATGAAAATTTCAATCTATGTGTAAAGCTTTGGCTATTAATTGAGTGATTTTTGGCTATCAAATCCAGGACATTGTTGGACCCCATTGCTAGGGGGAGCCCAAATCATGTGGCCAGTTCCTGGAGGAGCTTTTAAAGCTACTATTTGAGTTGTTTTAGTCTGGTTAGGAAACAGTTTTACCAACCAGGAAGGGGTAGCGATAAAAACTAGCAAGTACGGTTATCCTCCCTGGGCAGGGTGGATCTTGGTGAAGTCATTTTCCCCAGAGATCTTGGGGGTCTTGCTCAGTCATTTGGACACTTTCCTTGGTAAGGGCTCTCTGTTTTGGATTCACTTGAGCACAAACCTGGCATCTGGCTGAGACATCTCTTGCTAAGCTGTCCAGTCTAGGTATAATATACCTTAATCTGAGCAAGTCAGAAAGTTTTGTGAACCCACATGAGTAGGCTGGTGAAGGTCAGTTACCAACAGTCCTGTCAGTTGTTTTTGGGAGAATGATCCTTCCCTCTGGTGTCCTCCATCTCCTGTGGTTTTCAACTATTTTTTTCCATGGAGTCTCAGAGTGCAAAGAGTCATGGTATGTTATCAGAGTATCTATTGTCTCCCCTGGTTTTAGCCAGATTATCAGTACACCCCCCCCCCCCACCCCGGTTTGAAGCAGAATTTCAAGAGGCCTCACTGGTTTGGTTGGCAGCCAGGTCAGAAGCAAAGCAGTAGAGGACAGCAATTTGTAGGAGAGGCTAAATAGCTTCTAAGAGGTCCAAGAGTTTTCAGTGTTTTTCCCCCCTTAGGGGTGAGAAGCCCTCTTTCTCTGAAGATCAATCTCTGCACATGCCTGACAGTATAAGTATAGTGAATGTCTGTGTATATAATGGAAGACTTCCTTTTTCCCATCTGAAACACTTAGTAAGATTGATCAGTTCTGCTCTCTGGGCTGAGGTACCTCGTATGGGTCCCAATTTTTTCAGTTAATGGAACTGCTACAGCTCCCACATACCTGGTTTCTTCATCTTTCATCTCCTGACAGTCATGGCTGAGCACCTGTGTCATCATCAAGAGGGTAGCTGAATTGGTGGTGGTGAATTTCTCAAAATAGACTGGAGGATGTGCCAGGAGTAGGGCCTGGGACTGGGTCACACAGCATTAGACAGCCAGTGTTTTGATGCTTCTCAGAGTTGGGCCTGTATTTTGCTTTGAGTATAAGATCTTGTGGCAGAGTTAACTTGTTTGTTTTCTTTCAATCAACTAGCATCAGCCTCCATTCCTCTTAGACAAATGGGCCAACCTGTGGCTACAGGGTCCAATCATTTGTACAGGTATATCACAGGACATTTCCATGCCCAAATTTTGGGTTAATATTCCTTTTTTCTTGTGTTTCATGGAAAAAAAAAAAAACAGCTGAAAAGGTTTTGAGACTTCTGCAAATTCTATAGCTGGAGCAGAAATCACAGCTGTTTTTAGTGCCTTAAATGACTTTTGTTAAATCTCAGTCCAGATTAGGGGCTCAGTGTCCCCCTTTGTGCTAGTGTATAGAGGTCTTGCCATTTCCAGAAACACTGGTATCCAGAGGCATCAATATCCAGATGCAGCTAGGAACTCTTGAACCTGTTTCTTAGGCTTTGGAGTTGGGATCTGAAGGATGGCAGCAATGCTACTCTGAGACAGGCTCCTTTGCCTCCCTCAGCTGGTAGCCAAGATAGGCAGGCTTCTGTTAATTTGAGCTTCCTTAGCCAATGGTTTGTAGCCCAAGGTCTGTAACTCTTACAGTAGTCCTCAGTGGCCCTTTACAATCTGTTTTCCTAGGAAACCTCTGGAGGAAGAGCAGGAACTCGACATTAAGTGTCTTTAACTCCTGGGGAAACCTGGTCCAGGTTAGTTGCCCACTGTAACCTCCCACTGGGTCTGTCCATTTAAAAGCAAAGATGGGTTGACTCACCTCTAAATTGGAGAGGCTGAGGAATGGATCTTTCAGGTCTAAGACAGTGCACACCTGTTTCTCTGGAAGAACCAGACTCATGAGAACTAGAGGTCCCGGGTTTCTTCACAGGCAGGAGAGGCATATTCCAGTGTGACTGGTAGGGCACCAGGATGCCTGTCTCTTCAATCCAGGCAATATGGGCCTCAATTTCCCCTTTTGTTTCCAGGGTCATTTGATATTTTTTATCTTTTGATTGGAGGCATAACTTTCAGCTAGGAGATATTCTTCTGACAGAGGGTAAGATAACTCAGTTTTGCTTGGGTATCTGTAAGTTAACTTTTCTCATTGTCAGAGAAGGTGAAGGGGGCTTTCAGTTCATGCAAAAGTTCTTGTCTTTATCAGATTGTTGTTGTTAAAAACCTTTTTGAACTACCTCCAGCAACTGGGAGTTACTTATACCTTTAAATTTTTTTCAATTTTTATAACATTTTTTTCAAATACCCTGGTTGACTGGGTGACAAAGGACATCTTTTTTAACATCTCTCTTTAATATTTCCAAAAAGTATCTAGTGAAATGGTATAAA